GCTCTCCTGGTCATTGCCACAAACGGAGTTGTTGTCAACGGAACTCTCTACAGCGCCACACTCCTCATTGGCAGTGTTCACAGTAAGGGTGCACTTTGACCTCTATAAATAATGACAATGGGTGGGAGCTTTCATGGTCTAGAGGTTATAGGATGCTCGCCTTCCATTCAATAGGTCCTGAGTTCGAATTCTGACAGCGACGGGAAAGTTTTCTTCTCTAAAATAAAAAAGAAATTCTTCTTTCACGTCCTTTCCTGCTCTCTTATTGTGTTCTGTCGTTTGATTTTGTCTATACTTTCTGTCGCCCCCCACCCAATTACCCCCTCTGACTCTTTCTGTTACCTTTCTACTGCTACTCCTTGCCTCCTTCTTACTGCTGTCTGTCACTGTCAGCCACACCCCTCAACTTGGGGCAGATAAGATCTTCATCTAGCCTTCGTGGATACGGGCGAAAAATGTTGATGGTCCCATTAGCAAATTGCGCTCGTTGAAGATCCCTTGGTGGTCCTAAAACTGATAAGAGTAGGCTTCGGCGGCCCCCGCGGTCAAAATTCAATATATATGAATTCTAATCAAACTGAAAATGCTTAATGTATCCCGCACGCTTCTTCATTAAAAAAAAAAAAGTGGTATACTGATGACATTGGTAACAATGTATCAAAAAATTTAGTACTAAAATAAAAGCTTTAGAAACTGCCTGTTTTTGGAAGTCTCTTTTATTTGTAGAAAAAAAAAACTGCTGTTTCTTTTGAGAGCCGGGGTACTTTTTCATTCAGACTTTTCCCACGTCTTTAGAGCCCTAAATATTGCTAAAATAGGTGTAAAACTGGATGTCAAAGTGGGTGGTTGATGGGTGCTCTAGTGTGGTTTGCTTCTTCTTTCATATGTCTGTCGTCCTTATTTTGTAAACGTCTTCTCTTTTCTCCTCACGTTGCTCTCTGTTAAGGTCTCTAATCTTAGGCACCTATATGACCTATCGCATTGCAAGTATAACTCTCAGTTAATAATAATAGTAGATAGCATTTTTATAGGGCAAATTCCCACTCAACAGCAAGCTCTATGCATGTTACAATCTATACTTAAGGGGGCATGCAGGTTTTTTTTACCTATTTTGGGCTCGAGATATCAATTTTTGAAAGCATGTATATTCTGTTAATATTTCTGATTATCGTGATTTTAAGATGAAATGTAAAGTTTTTAGTATCAAAACTGCCGTAAAAACATCCTGTGTCCTTGGTAACAAGCCAAAAAAGAATAGAAAGAATAGAAATGTTCATGAATGCCATGTTATTTGACCTGCTAATCAAGTCAAAACCCTCTCTCTATTTTCCTAATCATTTTTTTTTTCGTTTTTCATGATATTATCTTCAAATTTTGAATGGATTCAGTTTAACATATTATTTATTATACAATTCACTGAAGCACTATATATTAGCTACATGTTCTGGTTGCTTTTTAAAGTAGGCTTTTCTTACCCTACCCCTAACATCTTTTGGGTCTTCTGAGTTGGGAGATACACCAGCGCTTTAAAAAAGTAAATAGATATTGATGTTATAATATGTCCTCAAGATAACTGCAAATTATGTCAAACAAAAAATAGATTAGAAAAATGCATCACTCATCATAAAATGCCAAAAAATGCAATATGGCTGCTGTTTCGATGGCAATGTGAAGATTTTCTCAAGTTATTATATTTGAATTTTCATCAGCATAATCCAAGGTATATATATAAGAATACTTGTTTCATGTGATTTTTCTCAATATTACGAAAAATGGGCTGGAAAAATATTCCCCCCCCCTCCCATTAACTATAACGAAAACTTGAACGTGCATTCAAATGTTCTCCGCAGTAAACAGCTCTACCCCCAAGTGTGAGATTCTGAGCCTCATCGTCAACTGTACCGATGGCTGTGAGATTGACACAGCTTCTGGACAAGCCCAATGTATTGTCATGTAAGGCATTATCGCTCATTTTCCAACTACCGAATGATTAGCAGGGGAAGTGCATTTGTTGTCTCTCATCTTCATTTTATTTTCACTACCCTCTTTGGTCGCGCATCTTCATTGCACTACCTGTTTTCCTCCTACTTCTGTTCAGCTAGATGTGTGTGTTTGTGTGTGTGTGTGTGTGTGTGTGTGTGTGTGTGTGTGTGTGTGTGTGTGTGTTTGCGTGCATGTGTGAGTGTACACGTGTGTGTGTAAAGTGTGTGTTTGTGTGTGTATGTGTGTGTGTTAGTTTGTGTGTGTGTGTGTGTGTATATGAATGTGTGTGTGTGTGTGCGTGTGTGTGTCGCGTGCGTGAATATTGTTCTTACATGCATTTACGTAAAGCGCATAGAGCTGTGTTTACATGGGAGTGGGCGCTATAGAAATGGTCTACATTATTATTATTATAAGCTATGATTTTGACCATTTTTTATCTTCATTTTCAATAGATCTAACCAATTACCTTTCCATTTCTATAACCTCACCCGCTGTCTATGTCTGTGTCTGTGTCTGTGTCTGTGTCTGTCTGTCTGTCTGTCTGTCTGTCTGTCTGTCTGTCTGTCCGTCCGTTTGTCTGTCCGTCCGTTTGTCCGTCTCCCTTCCTGCCTGCTTGCCTGTCTGTCTGTCTGCCTGTCTGTCTGTCTGTCTGTCTGTCCGTCTGTCCGTCTGTCTGTCTGTCTGTCTGTCTGTCTGTCTCTCTCTCTCTCTCTCTCT